CTGTTGCCTCGATCCTGCTCCGGTTAGTACTTCTCTTGAGCAGTTATGGGTGAAGACTACGACGTCACACAACATGGTAAGCATCGGCGTTATGTACCTTCCTCCTGACCGTAAATCGAATTTGAGCTCGTCCCGATTACATCACAACGATCTAGCTCTGCTATTTGGCGACGATAACCAGTCTGGGCTTGTTTGGAATATCTCCGCGAATGATCATCCAACCATTGACATTCTTCGGTCGTACAGGCCTGCTTCCTGCTGTGCTCTTTTGGATGGTTTTAGCCTGCATGGTTTAATGAAAATTAATTCTGTACCAAACAGAAACTCGCGGCTGCTTGATCTTGTGTTGGTGAACGAAGCCACCGCACTAGAGTGCAGTGTCGCTGAGGCATCCGAGCCTCTGATACATCTAGACGCCGATCATCCAGCGTTGGAAGCATTCATCAATCGATCAGTTCCTGTTCTCTATGAAAACACTGTTGATGTACAAAGCCTGGACTGACTACGTCGCATTGAATCACTCACTGGTCCAGGTAGATTGGCAGTCGCTTGACTTGTGTTAACTATTTCGACGAAGTTGTTAGCCGGTTAATAATGGATTGTGTGCCTCTGAGGAGACCTGCTCCAAAACCTGCATGGTCCAATGCTTGATTACAACACTTGATGCTTGTGAGATCGAAGGCTCTTCGAAAATACAGCCAGTCCCGGAATCCATTCACCAAGCGATTATTTTCGTTAGCAAGTAATTGCTACCGATTGTACAACCGCTTTCTAAACAAGAAGTACTCAAGACGTATGCAGACCAATCTCGGACGTTTGTGAAGACAAAAAGGAAAGGGGATGGGCTACCGGTTGAGATTCATCTAAGCGATAAAAGAGCCAACACTTCTTTAGAGAAATGTAGCCTCCTGGCTGAGCATTTCAAGAGTGTTTTAACGATTCAACGGCATCGTTAAACCAAGTTGCTGAAGGGATCAGAGATACTCCCAGTGACGCGTTCAGCTTTGATATTTTCACGGTCACATTGGACCTCGTCGACTCTGCCATCCAGAAGCAGAAATTCTCGAACGCTGTTGGGCCTGACGGCATTCCATCGTCCATGCTCAAAAGATGCTCAACAGAGCTTTCCTCTCCGCTTTCAAAGCTGTTCAATATTTCGTTACAACAAGGTGTATTTCCCTCTCGTTGGAAATCTTCGTTCATGTTCCCTATTTTCAAGAAAGGAGACAAACAAAATGTGGAGATTTACCGAGGAATTACGTCACTTTGTGCCTGCTCGAAAGTATTCGAGATAATCATCAACGACGCTTTATTTGCCCGCTGTAGAAACTACATTTCTCCTGACCAACATGGTTTCCACCCCAAACGTTCGGTCTCAACAAACCTCGCTCCGTTCATTTCCCTATGCCTACGGAATATGGAGGCAGGGGCACAGGTGGACGTCGTATACACGGATCTCAAGGCTGCTTTCGACCGGGTCGATCATGCCATTCTAATTGCCAAACTCGAGAAGCTTGGTGTTTCTCATGGACTCACTCGTTGGTTTGAATCGTATCTTACCAATCGAGAGCTTTGTGTGAAAATCGGGTCTGATCAATCCGAATATATTTTTCAAACAACTCAGGCGTTCCTCAAGGCAGCAATTTGGGACGAAATCGGTTTGATACTTCCAACTGGCTGCCGATCATTCTATGCAGACGATGTCAAGATGTACGTGGTTGTGCGATGCTTTACTAACTGCCTGCGGTTGCAGCACCTGATGGATAGTTTCGAAGAGTGGTGCTCTAGGAAGAATTTTCTCACGTTGAGTGTTCAAAAATGCAATATCATCACTTTCCATCGCAAGCTAAAACCTATTGCATTCAATTATACGATCGATAACCAACCTCTGCAGCGTGTGGACAACGTTCGTGATCTAGGAATTACACTTGATTTTGCTTTGACATTTAAGCTACATTACACGGATATCATAGCCAAAGCCAACAGGCAACTCGGATTCATCTTTAAGATCTCTGATGAGTTTCGGGATCCTACCTGCCTGACAGCTCTATATTGTTCTCTAGTGCGATCGATCTTGGAATTTGGTGTAGTAGTATGGTGTCCGTATGAAACAGTTTGGATAGCGAGGATCGAGTCTGTTCAGAGGAAATTCGTTCGTTACGCTCTTCGCCACCTTCCTTGGTACGATCCTACGAACCTTCCACCCTACGAAGATCGTTGCCAACTACTGGGTATTGAAACTCTTGAACGTAGGTGGAAGATTAACCAGGCAGTTTTTGCAGCAAAAGTGCTGATAAGCGAAATCGACTCTCCCGGGATTTTGGCTGAATTCGAAATCTATGCACCTGAACGAGTTCTACGATCGAGAAGTTTCCTGCATCTCGGACCCCGTGCAGCTAATTACGGATTACATGATCCAATACGGTTCATGTCTGCCCGTTTCAATGAATTCTATGTTTTTTTTTCGATTTCAACTGCACAGTGGAAACATTTCGTCAACGGATTCAACGTAGTCTGCTGGATAGGTGACGATACGGTTCGACACATGCAACTGCTTTCAATCAGCAAATCGTTGCAAGACGGTGAGAAGCTGTCCATTAATGTACATCTGATGAATTTTACTACCTGTTTCCTTTTTTGTTCCCGATCAACTCTGCGATGACGGCCTCGACTGTTCCAAGGACAACTCGATGCTATACGACGAGGTTATTTTTTTTTTATGATGAAGACCATAGTATTATTATTATTATTTGGTGTTTATTTTTATAATTGATGTGTTTTCTCCTTGCTTCTTGTATTTTGAAAAGATATGGGGTTTTTACGCCTGTTTGCGCAAATATTTGCCAAATAGGCTTTTCCCCATCAATCTTCATTTAGACAACAAAAGTCCGATGAAGAGAATAATAAATAAATAAATAAATAATAGGTTAAGATTCTGAAGAGCCAATGTAGGGGAGATATATGGGGGTAAAATGCCTATGTTAGGGACGATCTCCATACTGATTTCAATCCTTGGAAGCATACATTTAGGAGTTATCTACGTTCTTCCCAGGGGGCTATTACCGAGCGACATTTTGAAACCTTCATGTGGATGGAATATCAAAGCAATCTCTTAGTTTTGCCATTGAATAAGAATATACCCCTATACCAAAAATCCCATCGGTTCCAGAATGTTAAAATCGAAAACAATGTTGAATTCAAACTGAATGTAGGGGGTTTGACAGCTGTAGAATACCATTGGTTCTTCCACAATCGAATTTCAAAGCTTCACGCCTGATGGTTATGCTTTCCACACACAATTTGCGGGGCGTATACACGGTCGATCAGATCGACTCAAAATTGAATCACGTCGACACGTCATTTGCGTCAAAAGTGGATTTACTCAAATGTGAGTTGAATTTTCCGGGCAAAAGCCGTGGGAAATCAGGAAGAATTTCTCGAAAATGAGGAAAATTCCCAAACACTTCACTCAGTCTAGGAGTACACTAATAATGAGTAATTATTAGTAATTCTGAGAAATTCAGAGAAGTCTAGAGAACGTGATTGAAGATAAGAGATTTTTGGAACAGTTCCATTCACTTCAAGGAAGCACCGAAAACATCGGGAAAAGTCTAGACTCATGAATATAAAAAAAAAGTTTTATCATCCTCAACGCTTCAACCCAGGGGATGAAATCTTCATCAGGGCTAGCTGTCGCTGACCGAAAGACGGCCTAAATTTATGTCCGTTGGGAAAAGCAAAGTCCAAAGACATAAACGCCGGACATCAATTTGGGTTTTATATCGATTTGGACTTGAAAAATGCTTTCTGGCGAGCTGATTGCAGACAAGTACTAAACTGTGTGCAACTTCCCAAATTACAATTACGGTGGCTCTGTAATGGGCTGTTTACACTAATTCTAGTTCACTAGCTCAGCCAGCTCAACCAATTAGCATGAATTTCTGTCTTTTAAATTTGTCGAATTTATTTCCTGATGATGGGAAGATCTTAAGAAGGGGAGTTTGCCGTCTCTCTCTCTTCTTCTTAAGTAAATTTGATGTCCTTGTGAACGTTACTTATGGTTTCCAAAGTTTTTGATATATCTTCCCTTTTGGCAATGCTAAAAATGTCATTCACGTACCTATACCAACATTTGGGCAACAAATTCCTATCCTCCAGAGTATTTTCTAGGTTAGCCATGAACAATTCACAAAAAAAAAATGGAGAAAGCGGATTGCCCATAGGAGCACCTTTAGTTTGTTTATAAAATTTCCTCTGAAAATGAAACAATTTTCCTCCATACAAAGACGAGTAAGCTTGAGATATGATCGAACTTTGTTTTTCCAACTAGAATCCTCACGTTGCTTCAGAAGCCAGTCCTCTAAAAGGCCGAATCTCTCCTGATGCCTGAAGTGCTGTGAACTGAGCGAGTGGTATAGGGTTTAGGCATATTTTGAAATTCCTTTAGCTTATGAGTGGGGGATCCTTCAGCCGAGATAATCTCCCTCATTTCGTTTCCGGGTTTGTGAATCTTTGGTAAACCTTCGATCCTTTCTCTCTTCATGATTTTCAGTTGTTCCTGAAAGCTCATGCTGATAGATGCTGACGCCCTGTTTACATTATGCTGGCTACTTTTAAGTACAGTACACTAGCGCAAGCAAAGCAGCACAGATGTAAACACCACATAAACAAATCTTAATTTATCATGACAGCACAGGGCAAGACCATTTCAATTGGACTTCAGAAAAATCTCCACCGAAAACTAGAACACCGGTTGCAGCGCATCCTGTTCAAAGATATCTTGTTCATTAGACACTAGAGCTATGGCACGCTAAACGGAGAGTTTTTCAAATTATCTCCCTCTGTAAATTATTTTTTCGGACCCTACTCTTCTGCACTACCAAATTGTGGAAACGCATGGTACTTTAGCAGTAGGCATGTTTTCATTCGAACCGAATGTCCACTCTCAATCACATTTCCCAATTCCACCCACCATGGGGCACCGTTCTGTGGTTACTCACCGGACTAACCTGCGACCAGGTGTAGTTGTGATGTATCAGCGGCGACGTGTTGCTGTGCGGGAGGATGGCTCCGCTGCTGCCGCCATTACTGCTGCCACCGCCGCCGCCACCACTGCTTCCATTGCTGTTGCTTCCCGACTGGCTGATGGCATTGTTGTTGCTGCTGTTGCTGTTGTTGTTATTGTTCAGACTTTGCTGCTGCTGCTGTTGCTGGTGGTGGAGATGGAGCTGGGCGGCTTGGTGGCCTGGCAGTGGCGGTTTGATGGCAGCACTGAGCTGCTGCTGCTGCTGGATCTGTTGTCCATAGTGCTGCAGGTGTGGATGTTGCTGCAGAGGCTGTTGCTGCTGCAGCTGCTGGGAGGACAAGGACAGCAGCCCTTGCCTGTAGTTACCAACGATCTGCCGCTGGTACTCGGGATCCTCGTGCGGGGGTCGAGCCATGTCGCGGTGGCTCAGAGTCGGTGGCGATGGCGGATGGGGCGCACTATGGCCACTGTCACTCTCATCCTCAATCTCGGTGAAGAAGAAATCCTCCTCGTCGCTGTCCTCGTCCGGTTTGCGGGGACTGTTAAAAAAAATTGTGGTTTAGTTAAACAACTGGGTCAGATAATCAATCAATCGCCGATGCTTACCCTAGATGTGCGTTTCGTACGTGAGCGGTGACCTCAGAACAAGATGTGTAGATGACGCCACAACCCTTCCAGGTGCATTTGTAGATTGGTTGGCTCGCCTGCAATTCAGAGAACGGAGACAGAGAAAGCAATTATTAATAAATTCGGGTCAAGCTCGTCGCAAGTGCACAATGAAATCAAATTGAATCCAGTGTCAACCTTCGGTTTGAACACCATGGTTCGGCGGGCCACGAAGGACCGCCCGGAAGTGGCCAGCGAGGCCACTTCGCTGGCCATGAGTGATCGGATCATCATGGCAGCGGCCAAGGCGGTGGTGGCTGCTGTTGTTACTGCAAACAAACTGCTGCAACTTTGGTGCCAGGACCTAGTTAACTGCATTCACAACAGGCCAGGACCTCGATTCGAAACGCGCCTTGAATGGAAGGGACAATCGTTTTCAACTGCCTGCCTGCCTGCCGACGACGACGACAGAAACTCCGAGCGGGTTCAGAGAGTGTAGTGTGGAGCGCAGCGTTTCTGACCTATATCAGGCCCCGAGTGTTACATATTTTGTGTTGACGGGCTGGCGCGCGCCCGAGAATGGCAAGCTTACAATGTAGTCGTGTGGCGGTTTTTCCTCTGCACTTCCTCTCCAGTTCAGTCTCGGTCGGTGTGAGTGTGAGCGCGCGCGGGAAAATGGAGTAGGTTGGAGGGTGGGCACATAATACATAAGCGCCTTCCCTGAGGGATTTTTTTTTTATATGGGTACATAGTTGATGTACACATTCGAGCATACTAACATGCTCGACGACAGACCCAGGATCAAAGGTAGTAGCAGAAGAAGAAGTGGCAGCATCGAGAATCTGGAACAGAGCGCCGGGTGGTTCTGGAAGCGTTTACAAAATTGTGGCGGCCGGAGTGGTAGTGAGTGAGTGAGTGAGTGAGTGAGTGGAGTCTGACCTGACATACATTTTGGTGGAGCCCGAAATTCGAAACTCGGCTGCTGGAAGGGAAAATATTGTTGGCGTACTTTTGTTCTTTGTTTTTACTTGCAAAACATGAACTGGAAAGCTGCGGCCAGCAGCTGTTGTCGAGATGAAACCTAACGAGTCATAACATTTTCTTTTATGTTAGTGGAATTTTCAAAGTTTTTTTTTGCTTGAAGTATTTAATTAGCTTTCGTGTAGTTTGCAATGCTTTCGAAAACAAAAACGAATTCATAGGCAAATGGACATTTTGTCTTGAATTTTGTATTGCCAACAAAATTTCAAAAGTACACTCATTGCTGTTTTTGCCTCTATTATTGATCGTGTAATCGCAAATTCAGGGTGGCCATTCAAGCTACGGAAATTAAATTCCCGCTAAATATTGATTGATTTCAGTAACTGATGTCAGTGGCAACAAAGTTTCAGCAGAAAACTGGAGGAAATACAATATAAGTTTTCAGAATTTGGAAAATTTACCAGGCAGATCGCAGATACCATATACTTCATATACAACCCAAGTAACAATTCAAGCTGAACAGTGAGAACAGAAGCTGATTATTGGTTGATTTAAGGTGTACAAAGCTGATTAAAAGCAGGCTGAATATATAGTTGATTATTAGTTGATGAAGCTAATTGCATCCCCATAATTCAACCTCAATAAGTTACCTGATCTAAGGATTGAACAAGCCTTATTTAAGCTTAACACTACTCCACAAATCAGCAATGCACTACAAATATTTTGATAGCCTGATTTGTTAAATGTAGTCAGTTTAACTCGTTGCATTTCCGGCATTTTAGTTCTTCTACATTCACTGCCTACCTTTCTAATCCCAAGCAACGGCAGCAGTAGAGACAAGGTAGAGGAGCTTATTATGAATCGCCCCAGGTAGAAGTGGGCTGCGACGACGTTGGAAGCATTAACATTTATATTTCTGTGTTTACAATTCTGCATTGCTGTATAATACTCTTCCGGTTGCTGTTATTCAATTTAAATTTGACGTGTTTCAAGTTAATGATCATACCTCTTTCCACACATATGCTTAAGTGGTCCAGTAGGTATTACTGATGCCTGTGAATCAGTAACTGCCGGTTCGAATCCCGAAATGAAAAGGTAATTTTTAGACTTATAATAACAATATCAAGAGCCACATGTGAAAAGGGCATACAAGCTTTTTGTAAACAAACCTTTGTAGGCCCTTTTTACACCAACCGAGGGTCGCCCACGCAAACCAACAACATCATCGGGAAGGGGGAAGCTTCCCCTACCCGCTAATGTTAATGGTCTGCGTTGGTGTCATATGGGTGGCGAGAAAAGGGCATAAGAAGGTTTGTTTACAAACAGTTTGTATGCCCTTTTCACACGTTGTTCTTGATATGAATATGTAAATCCAATTAGTTAGTCAGCACCTTGTTGCAGTCCCATAAAAATATATAAGGTATGAAGCGGTCTTAAATTATTTTATTCTTAATAAAACTAGAAGGCTGAACAAGGGTTGGAAAAGACTGTTATTTAATGCCTTAAAAAGCTTATAATTTATATTACTGTTAAGCTTTTGGCTGATTAAAATCACCAGATTTAGATGTTTAAAAGCTGAACAAAGGTTAACGTGGTCTATGTACAACAATTATTCAAACTAAGGCTGAACTAAAATCGATTGAACAACACTTGTTAAGCATCAAATTGTTACCTGGGAATTCAATTCAAAATTATATACAATTTAAAGTTATTTTGGAAATTTCCAACAGGACTAGTGACATCTTAGGCTTGGACAACTTTCCAAATCACGAAGTAAAAAAGCTAGGATATCAAGGGGATAGAAAACTTAGATATACAACCATTCCATAGCAAAATGATAAAGTGGATCTCAGAATTTCTTAAAAAATGTAATTTTCACAAAATTTTAGACCCGCATTTTTTTTTATTTTGTCATTAGGGTAACCATTTCCAGGGTAGTCCAAAAAATCATTTTTTTTAAAGTCTTAAATTTTTATTCTGCCTGAAACCGAAGAATTCAATTATCGAAAGGCTCTTTCGATTTGTATTGAGGTCCCCAAGAGCTGTGTAAAATTTGAAACGGGTTCAAACAATTGGGAACTCGCTTTTAGCGTGCACACTTTACTACCCCGCTGTTGGATTGGTTTGGCCAAGGGTTACTTTGATTTGACCTAGTTTTGAGTTGTTCGTCTTCTTCACTCATTCTAATGGAATAAAATCAAAATACTGAGACCCCACTCTAAATTTAAATGTTAACTATGCTGATTTGAGTGAAAGGTACTTAAATTATGGTATTTGTTTACCATGTAGCTGCGAGTAGGTTTGATACTTATGTCCAACCACTACTCGCTAGATGCGCATCTCAATAGAATAAACCTCGTGGACAGCAACATCTGTCGGTGTGCCCAAGTAACAATTTGGGTTTTATGAGGGTTCTGTAGACCATGATTTAGACTTGTAGAGTGCTTTAAAAAGTTTGGCAATGTACGGATAATTACGCCGCCAGAGAGCTACTTTTGAATACCCTCGAGGCCCAAGGAAGACAACCCTATCAGAGACGTTTTGGCAACCCGCGATCTCTGCTATATGCATTCGATTTATGTGTTTCTGCAAATGTCTAGTATAAGAATTTAATTCGTTTGTTTTTTGTATCTCTTTATTAGATTTTGTTTGTCTTGTCCCCCGTCTCGATGAGTCTCATCGTCGCCCACTGGTCACCATAGCCGATCGAACTCCAGACGAATCTAGAACCACACTACTGTTCATTCTGGCGACATCGCTCTGATGAGACAACAAAACCCTACCCCCAAGCTCCTCCCCTTTTTCCTATCCTTCGACAATGTACCACTCTAGCCTCGGGTACTCCTACTAGACATAGAATAGAATAGTGCATAGAATTAAGTGAATTTTGTTACAAACAAAGTACAATTAATTATCGGCTCCGTAAAGGTAACGCGATTGAGCCTTACAAATAAACGAACTAAATTAGGAGTTTTAATACTTGAGATGGAGAAAAAGATGGTTTCTGCCTCATTGGAGATCCTAAATTGAAAATTTCCCAAGCAACATTCCAAGTTTTATTGAAGCTGTAAAACATTCTTCAAGTCTAAAACATGGTCGACAAGAGTGTGAAAAAACCACAAATACTTGGGTTAGGATCTAGCCTGAAATTTAACTTATTTCATATGATTAATTAAATCGGATTACATCGTAAGGCTTTTCAAAATTAATTTGTTATTGCAGATTAAATCGTATATGAAGTTAAACCAACTCATTTAAAATTAAATTAAAATATGCACGTATATGGCTTCAACTTTTGTACGTATAAGCCATTTATTTGCATTCTATACGAATTGTTTGTTTGTATATATGTTTGTATATCACGGAAACAACTTTGAATATACGTGCATTCTGGTTGTCTGGGTTATCTTATCTAATATTAACTTTGCTTAAGTTTTGCTTTCTCAGGGTGACAACTGAATTTCCATTTTAAAATTCTGGATTTTTCACCGGTTTTCCTGGTTATTAATTCAAAAATATCCCGGTTTCATAAATCAACTTTTTTTTAGAAAATGATTGAAAATTTCTTATAGGAGAATTCACGTATTCTCGGCATGCTAAGCAGCATCCACAATTTTACCAGCAATTTTTTAGCGTCACCCACACATATAACGTGTTTGTTTGTTTACATTTATCTGTACAAAACTTCTCAGGGAAGGGTGACTATTTTCGGCAACCTATTTTTCTTAAGCAACCTTTCCATTTGAACTGCATGTTAACCATTTTGCAGCAGGGTTGCTTCCACTCACTTGCTATAAAAAAATGATTTTCTGAATTTTGAAATCATTAGATGTTAAAATGATATTTTGAACTTGTTAGATACAAGAAGAGGTTGAAAGGCAAGTGTTTGACTCATATAACCTGTCAATTTCGCTACCAGAGTGTTACAATAAGCGATTTTATGATTCGTGAGCGTTCACTCAGAGTGAGCGCTCGCGAGTTGGAAAATTGGTGATTGTGACTATCTTAAAGCGAACTTGACAGGTTTCATGTGTCAAACACTTGCCTTTCAACCTCTTCTTGTATCTAACAAGTACAAAATATGATTATAACAGCTAATGATTTCAAAATTCAGAAA